TTTCACAACCTATATATATTACAAGATTAAGATCAAATTTACTTTTAACTTTTCGCCATTCATGTGTTTTATTTTGTTCCTAAATAGTCAACTTTGATGCTTACATCATGTCTGTTTCTAATTCTCAGAAGTGGTGTAAGCAAAATTTTCGGATTCATGTTGAGCAAACTCCCTTATAAAGCCAAAACTGCAAAATCAAAGAACTGTAAAAGAATAAACAACTCTAAAAACAGAGCATGGGGAAATGGCCATAAGGTTCAAATCTAAAACTTAGCAGTGAACCAGAACCGAGGTCAGTGGAGAGAGAGGAGTGCAGGGGAAGGGTGTGTGGAGAGTAGCAGGAGCACCGCATCTAGTTCTGTTTCTTTCCTTATTGTGTGTAAAGGCTGTCAGAGATTGGGAGGGACCTTAAGGTTATCTGATTCGATTTTCTTATTTTACAGATGAGGAAAGTGAGACTCAGAGAAGTTAAGTAACTTACTCAAAGATATGTTAGTTAGTGACCAAGGCAATATAAGAACTGAGGGTTTCTGGACCACCGAAGATTGTCGCAGATGTTCAGTTAGGATGGACAAATTCTTGGAAAGGACCATCTAGTTTAGTTCCCTCAGGGACTAAATAGTTCATAAAGTTAAACTATATTCTATATTTCAGATTCTTAGACTGTATTTTCCCTGGTCCCAGTTCTTTAGTTCTTTATACTTTACAATATAATTGAACTGTGTTTTTATTGTAAGCTATCTAAAATAGTTTCATGTATTCGTTGGTTTCCCACCAAAACCCACTGCTATAGAGTCGATTCTGACTCATAGCGACCAACCCTAGATAGAGGACACAGTAGAACTGCCCCGTAGGGTTTCCGTAAATCTTTACGGAAGCAGATTGCCACATCTTTCTCCCATGGAGCAGGCTGGTGGGTTCAAACAGCCAACCTTTTGGTTAGCAGATGAGAAGTTTAACCACTATGCAACCAGGGCTCCTTTCATTAGTTTAGCAAATATTTATTGATTAGTAACTATGTGTCAGGCACTGGGGATATAACAGTGGACAAAAATAGGTGAAAATCGTCAACCATATATGTTTCAGTCGGGTGAAATAAAGTGTGTGTGTGTATATATACACACACACACTGTGCCACCGCTGCTCCACCAGTTAATATATATAATATTGATCTGTATTTGGATGTGATAGAGTATAAAAATGAATGAGGTGCTTTTATTCTTCATAGTACAGCTAGAGTTACTAAATCTAGTTACTTGAGAATTTTTCCCTTTTTTTGTGGTCCTAGGGTCTTTTTTTTTTAAAATAACTTCAGGTTTACAGAGTTTTTGGAGATAGTACAGAGAATTTCCATATACTCCACAACCAGTTTAACATCTTACATTAATATGGTACACTTGCAGGGCCAAATTACCCAATAAGCAAGGTACGAGTGGGCTTACTTATGCTTACTTACTAGTCTGTAGTGGACAATTTCACCTATTTTTCACCACTTCAAAGATATGGTGAAACCCATGTGAAATTGTTCGCTACAGATTAGTAAGTAAACACAGGTAAACCCTTGTGTACTTAGCTTATGGTTAATCTGCCCCTGTACACTAGTCAACTAATGAACAAATATTGATTCATTATTAATAACTAAAGTCTGTCCATTATTCATATTTTGTTAATTCCAGGATCCCACCCAGATACCACAGTGTGCAGTCATGTCTCCTTAGGCTCCTCTAGACTGTGACAGTTTCCTAGACTTTTCTTATTTTTGATGACCTTGACAATTCTGAGGATAATTGGTCAGGTATTTTTTTAGATTGTCTTCAGTTTTCATTTTTCTGATGTTTCTTCTCATGATTAGACAGGGGAGGAAAACAGCAGAAATGAGGGGCCATTCTTACCATCTCATATCAAGGGTACAAACCATAAACATAACTTACCACTGCTGATGTTAATTAACCTCGATCACTTGGCTGAGGTAGTGTTTGTCAAGTTTTTCCACAGTAAAGTTACTCCTTGTCCCCCCCTTTCCATACTGCACTCTTTGGCAGGAAGTCACTATGCACAGCTCATACTTAAGGAGAGGAGTTCCGCTTCCCCTCCTTTATGGTGGAGAATCTACGTAAATTATTTGGAATTCTTCTGCACAAGCAATTTTTCTCTTCTCCTCCATTTATTAATTTACTCAGTCATTTATGTCAGCATGTACTCATGGATATTTATTTTATAGTTTGGGTTATAATCCATTATTACATTATTTATTTTGTTGCTCGAATGCTCCAGCTTTGGTCATTGGCAGCCCTCTGAGTTGCCTCTTGGGCTCGACGTACCCTGTCAATGCGGGATTTTTTTTTAGCACATCCTTGCTTTCTGGCCTACAAGATGCTCCAGACTCATCTTGTATATACCCTACTTCAGCTCTTGAATGAGCCATATCTCTAAGGAGCTCTGTTTTTTTTTTTTTAATTGGAAAATAGTATTGGAAGCCAAGATCGGGGCCCTCGATGCACTTGTTGCTACTGAGGTGCCTTTGCTTTTAAGCCCTGTCAGCTGACAGAGAAAGGAAATATATGTGTATACAGGCATACCTTGTTTTATTGTGCTTTGCGGATATTGCATTTTTTACAAATTTAAGGTTTGCGGCAACCTTGTGTTGAGCAAGTCTTTCGGTGCCATTTTTCAAACAGCATGTGCTTCCTTCGTGTCTCTGCGTCACATTTTGGTAATTTTTGCAATGTTTCAAATTTTTCATTATTATTATTATATCTGTTATGGTGATCCGTGATCAGTGATCTTTGATGTTATACTGTAGTTGTTTTTGGGCGCCACAAACTGTGCCCATATAAGATGACTAACTTAATTGATAAATGCTGTGTGTGTTCTGACTGCTCCACTGATGGGTTCCTCCATTTGTCTCCCTCTCCTCAGACCTCCCTATTCCGTGACACACAACAATATTCAAATCAGGCCAATTAATAACCCTACAATAGCCTTTAATTGTTAAGTGAAAGGAAGAGTTGCACATCTCTCACTTTAGATCAAAAGCTAGAAATGATTATGCTTAGTGAGGAAGGCATGTCCAAAGCTGAGACAGGCCGAAAGCTAGGCCTGTTGCACCAAACAGTTAGCTAAGTTGTGAATGCAAAGGAAAAGTTCTTGAAGGAAATTAAAAGTGCTACTCCAGAGAACACATGAATGATGAGAAAATGAAACAGCCTTATTGCTGATATGGAGAAAGTTTTAGTGGTCTGGATAGAAGATCATACCAGCCACAACATTCTCTTAAGCCAGTCTAATCCAGGGCAAGACCCTAACTCTCTTCAATTCTGTGAAGTCTGAGAGAGGTGAGGAAGCTGCAGAAGAAGAGTTCGAAGCTGACAGAGGTTGGTTCAAGGGGTTTAAGGAAAGAAGCCATCTCTACAACATAAAAGTATAAGGTAAAGCAGCAAGTGCTGATGTAGAAGCTGCAGCAAGTTATCCAGAAGATCTAGCTAAGATAACTGATGAAGGTGACTAGGATAAAAGAACAAATTTTCAATGTAGACAAAACAGCCTTATACTGGAAGGAGATACCATCTAGGACTTTCATAGCTAGAGGAGAAGTCAATGCCTGGCTTCAAAGCTTCAAAGGACAGGCTGACTCTCTTGTTAGGGGCTAATGCAGTTGGTGACTTTAAGTTGAAGCCAGTGCTTATTTACCATTCTGAAAGTCCTAGAGCCCTTAAGAATTATGCTAAATCTACTCTGCCTATATTCTATAAATGGGGCAACAAAGTATGGATGACAGCATATCTGTTTACAACATGGTTTACTGAATATTTTAAGCCCACTGTTGAGACCTACTGCTCAGAAAAAAGATTCTTTTCAAAATATTACTCCTCATTAATAATGCACCTGGTCATTTAAGAGCTCTGATGGAGATGTACAAGGAGATTAATGTTGTTTTCATGCCTGATAACACAACATCCATTCTGCAGCCCATGGATCAAGGAGTAATTTAGACTTTCAAGTCTTATTTATTTAAAAAATATATTTTGTAAGGCTATAGCTGCCATAGATAGTGGCAGCTGATGGATCTGAGCAAAGTAAACTGAAATCCTTTTGGAAAGGATTCACCATTCTAGATGCCATTAAGAACGTTACTGATTCTTGGGAGGAGGTCAAAATACCAGCATTAACAGGAGTTTGGAAGAAGTTGATTCCAACCCTCATGGATGACTTTGATGGGTTTAATACTTCAATGGAGGAAACAACTGCAGATGTGGGGGAAATAGCAAGAGAACTAGAATTAGAAGTGGAGCCTGAAGATATGACTGAATTCGCTGCAATCTCATGACACAACCTTAATGGATGAGGAGTTGCTTCTTATGGATGAGCAAAGAAAGTGGTTCTTGAGATGGAATTTACTTCTGATGAAGATGCTATGAATATTGTTGAAATGACAACAAAGGATTTAGCAAATTACTTAAACTTAGTTGACAGAGCAGTAGCAGAGTTTGAGAGGATTGACTCCAATTTTGAAAGAAGTTCTACTGTGCGTAAAATGCTATCAAACAGCATTGCATGCTGCAGAGAAATCTTTCATGAAAGGAAGTCAATCGAGGTGAAACTCATTGTCTTATTTTAAGAAATTTCCACAGCCACTCCAGCCTTCAGCAACCACCACCCTGATCAGTCACCAGCCATCACCACTGAGGCAGGCTCCTCCACCAGCAAAAAGATTATGACTTGCTGAAGGTTCAGATGATGGTTAGCATTTTTTTACAATAAAGTATTTTTCAATTAAGGTGTGTACATTGTTTTTTTTAAGACATAATGCTATTGCACAGTTAATAGACTACAGTATAGTATAAACATAAATTTTATATGCGCTGGTCAACCAAAAAATTTATGTCACTCACTTTATTGTGGTGGTCTGGAACTAAACCTGCAATATCTCCAAGGTATGCCTGTACTAACCCATGCACATATACATACCTGTTGCCATCAAGTAGATTCCGACTCATAACAACTCTATAGGACAGAGTAGAACTGCTCCATAGGGTTTCCAAGGAGCTGCTAGTGGATTCGAACTGCTTACCCTTTGGTTAGCACCCGAGCTCTTAACCACATAGTTGTCTATATATCCATCTGTATATATATTAAGCTAAACGTGAGTTCATACTGATGTCTCCAGCCTTAATCCAATACCACATAAATCATTCTAGGATTACCCCTTTGCTTGTCTGTAACCTTCCACCCTTAACAGTGAGAAACCTGTCTCCCTCCATTTGCCTAGGATCAGTTTCTGTGTCTTAAAATATTTTATACTTAAACTCTTTTTCAATTTGTATAACCATCTAACATTATTTTCTTTTTGAAATTTCAAAGTGAAGTAAAGATCTTGACAAAACATATCAAATTATTTAAAATGTTTATTTTGCTTTTTTCAAACTACATTGATTCTTTCCTATGCAGATATTCCTACAAGGGGTCCAGCTCCTAGCACCATCTTTAAAATCATTAGCATCATCATCATCACCATGAACAAATGTTTATTGGACCCTTCTGAGAGGACCCTGAGCTAAGCTGGTTTATGTGGACAGTCTTTGGGGAAGCCTTGAGGTGTTCCCCAACCAGTAACACATGACAGGCGTGTATCACTTTCATATACATATACATCCTGTAATATTTATTTATGTATACAAACATTTTTCAGGTTACACACCTTTTAGAATTCATTTATTATAATTATTGTAACTTAACACACTTTCTAGCATTTCAAATAAATTAGTATTTCTCAACTTCCAATTCTGTGGTTATTAGCATGAGCAAGGAGGAAGCAAAGTTGAGTGATGTGCCTGTCACATAGTAGATGCTCCATAAATATTACACCAAAAAAGCTGAGATAATAGAAGTCATACTAACAAGCCAACTTGAAGCACATTACAAGATGCTAATTTCAGGGAGATGGATTATATTCCCAAAAAACTAAGAAACCAGGAGCTAGAGAGTCCAAAGGCCCTCCAGAGTCAACAGAATTTGTGTGCCCTGGTAAAACAGTTCTCAATCCTCTCTTTCCATCACAACACACAGTGGATTACTTGCTTGTAAGTTACACCACTATGGGCACACGCAGGTATTCAGTCTGTTCCTGGTGATGAGCTCCAACTCCATCCCTTTTCTCTCACATGAAAAAAAAAAGAGAATGCAAGTGAGTGAGGATGATATTACAATAGAGGTAATCTTATATCTGATCTAATTTATAAAACAGAAAATTGTATAGGAACTTTGTGACTTTAACGATATACTGCAGTAGGTGTACTACATGCGAGGTTGTGAACCACTGTCTTCGTGTACTTTCTTAAAACACCCAGGTGATGTTACGCTATAATTTAAAAAAAAAATGCTTTGGTATGTTAATGCAAGTTAATGATTAAATTCTGAAATATGAATCAAACTCAGTCTATTTCAGCATGAAGCAGCCCTGGTGGCACATTGATTCCAGCTAAGTGCTTGCTGCTAACCGAAAGGTTGCTGGTTCGAACCCACCCAGTGGCTCTGTGGAGAAAGACCTGGTAATCTACTTCCGTAAAGATTACAGCCTACATAACCCTATGGAGCAGTTCTACTCTGTCACATGGGATCACTGTGAGTCAGAATTGACTCGACAGCACCCGGCAATAACAATTTAGCATGAGAAAGAAAAAATAAAGCAACAGCAAGTTAATTTCTAAGAATTATTTAAGATACCCAAGTTGCTAGAATCACTCATCTTGTTTACATGCTCCTTTTTTCCTCCTTCTTTTTTTCCCTTTAACTTTGTTAATTCAATTTAGAATATCTATTAAAGTCCCTAGATGGTGCAAATGGTTTTGCTTGACTGCTAACCTAAAGGCTGGCAGTTTGAACCCACCCAGCGGTACCTTGGAAGAAAGACCTGACAGTCTGCTTCCATTGAGATTATAGCCAAGAAAACCCTAGGAAGCAGTTCTGCTCTGTGACACATGTCAGAATAGACGCCACAGCAACTAACGACGACGACATGAGAGGGAAAGTGATGTGGATACACATAGAGTCTGGTGCCTGACCTAGAGTGGGCAATCAGGGAGGGCTTTCTGGAGAAAGCAACATTTAAAACAGGATCTGAGGGGATCAGTAGGATTTAGTCATTTGAAAAGATAGGGGGAAGGCAGCATGTGCAAAAGTTCAGGATCTAGGGAGAATGTGGCATGTTGAGAAACTGAAAAAAATGTTTTAGTATGGCTGGAATGATACAGGTACAGGTTAGTAGTGAATTTTTATAGCAATCAGCTAGAGTGATATTTTGCTCACAATCATATTCCTCCAAATGTCCACTGACATTTATGTGTCTATAGCTGCCACATTTATACTTCCAGGTGTCTTATGAATTCTAGACTTGATGATCTAACTTCTTACTCATCTGTATTTGGGTGTCTAATACGCATCTCAAACTCAACATGTCCAAAACTGAATTCTTCATCTTTTCCAATGAAACCTGCTCCCACTCATAGTTTTCCCCATCATTTGATGGCAAGTCCATCATTCCAGAAAATAAACTTCCTGGATTCCTCTGTTTCTTTCACACTGCACACTCAGTCTGTCAGGAAACCCTGTTGACTCTACCTTCAAAATATATTCACAATCAAACAGCTTATTACCATCTCCTCTGCCGCCACCATGGTCTGAGCCACCATTCTCCCACTTCCTATGTTACTGAACAAGACTTTAGCTGTTGTCTTCACTTATTCCATTCGCCCTCAATAGCGTTTGCAACCAGAATATGTCAGAAGCCTACAGTGGCTCCCTATTTTACTCAGAGCAGGAGCCAAAATACTTCAGATAGTCTACAAATCTCTACAGGATGTGGCCCGCTTTCCCATCTCATTACCTTTCTGACCTTATTTCCTACTCCTCTCCTCAAACCTTCTACTGGATCCACACTGGCCTTCTTACTGCCCCTCACATACTGCAGGCATGATCCTGTTGTATGGCTTCGGTGTGGGTTATTCCCTTTGCTTGGAATGCTCTTCTGTCAGACATCTGGATTAATAACTCCTTCACCTCCTTCAAGTATTCTCTCAAATTTTACTTTATTAACCTATCACGACCTGCTAATTACTTAATATTGCAACCTAATCCTTACCACCACTATTCCAGATTCCTCTTACCCTGCTTAGCTTTACTTATTTCCATAGCATTTATAATATTTTGAAATATAATATGATATACTCAGTAATTTTATTGCTTATTGTGTGACTCCCCCAGCCAGAATCTGAACATCACAAAGGTGGAAACCTTTGTCAGTTTTATTCACTGATTAATACCAGGTGCCTAAAAGGAAAAAAAAAAAAATGCATTGACTGAATAAATGCATTATTTGAAATTTGTGCTTCCTGGACTCCAAAATTATTTTTTAATTTAAAATGAATGAAAATAAAGAAAAACTTAATTTGATAATGTATCACACATGGGCAAAGGGTGTCCACAATCTGAAATAATAAGTTACTAAGAGCACTGAACTTTAGTTTCCTCGTTTGTTAATGAGCAGGATAATTATGTCACAAGATTGTTGTGATATTTGAATGAAATGATGTGCATGAAAACAATCAATAATCAGGAATTAAGGGATTATTTCCCAACTCATAGGCCTATCTAAAATAAGGCCTTGAAGGCAAGGAGTAAGTTGTTAGAAGCCCTGAAAAACCAAAACTGTAAAGTCAGTTCTGACTCAAGTTGACTCCATGTGTGTCAGAGTAGAACTGCTCCATAGGGTTTTAAATGGCTGATGTTTTGGAAGTATATCACCAGGCCTTTATTCTGTACAGCTTCTGAGTGGACTTGAACCCCCAACCTTTTGGTTAGCAGCTGAGAGTGTTAACTGTTTGCATCACCCAGGGACTCCTTAGAGGCCAGTTATTTATCTCCTCTGTGATGTTGTTCCTCTGAAGACTGCTTTTTTCTGTTAAGTTTGGGATGGTGAGTAGGTAAATATTGAGAATAGGAAAAAAACTAAATATGTTTATAAACATTAATAAAAATTATATTGCACCAATTTTTAATAAAGACTGAGATCACAGTTACTGGAGATGATTTCTAAACTTAGAATGAGGAAAATTGAAAATTGTACTTACATTGGACTTTTAAATGTCTGGTTTTCTTGAGAACTGAATTATGGCCCTACTACAAAAATAATGCAGTTTGTTTTCAAGTGCCAGACAGCTGGGTAGTAAATTTATTGCTGAACATTCAGCACACATACAAGTTTTTCTTTCCTTCCTCTTCTTTTGTAAAGGTACAAGTAACCTCTGTAAAAAAAAAAAAAAAAAAAGAAAGAAAGAAAAATATTGTGGGTTCCATGATACCTCAACTTAATCCCTGGTACTATTTCTTTTCTCTGAAATATTAGGAGTTGGCTGAAAAGGCAAACATTATTGGCATGGTAAGTACTCCATTAGGCCAAGCATTGTAGGGAGTGCCAGCTAGCAAGGTGGAGCACTCTGGAAGTTGACAGAGCCCCAGAAAATTAAACATCAATGTCCTGAATGATGTTGTTTAAGCCTACCTGTAGGGAACTGGCCTGTGATGTCAAGGCAGGCCTTTTGTTATTTTTATGATCACTATGACTTTTCCTTTAATTCTTTACTTCCTCTTCCTGTGTACTCCTGATCTTAAACCTGGAATAGAGAAAGGGAAGACTTTTTTTTATCAGTGGCACTAAAAATGACAAAAGAAAGTAACACAGTTAACTTCGGTTAACACAGAAGCATAATATATTTCACTGAAGACATAAAGTGAAAGTATTGGATTCGGAATTCTACATTATTCTTGGTCTAAGTGTCTCATTGTTATCACATGTGAATTGTTATGAACAAGACAGTCCTGTGTATCATTATAGCTAAGTCCTTATGGAAGGCTAGCTATGATTTGAGTCGGAAAGACTTAAATTTCTTTTTAATGATGTGTGGCATAATGGGCAATCTAGTGTGTATTTCAGTTTTTAAAAATTCAATTAACAGGTCAAAATATTAAAGCCAATTACATTTCTAGTAGAATTCTTACCCCCAGAAGCAGATTATAGGATCGAATATCACACCATGACTTTAGATGGCTGAGACACGTGTTGTTCGCTTGTAAGTCTTCGGGAGGCCTTTCCGTTTCATTTTGGTTATTGTGCCAGCTCTTTTCATTGCTTATTAATTTGTTTTTCTCACAGTTTGTGCCATTGTTTAGTTTATCTTGGAAACAAAGAATCTGGGAAAAGGTACACGTATTTTGAATGTGGGTTTTCCCAAATCTGAAGTTTCCCAGATTTGAGTATATGGAAATAAGCTGGAATGTGGTATAATCATCAAAACCATGTGTTTATATACTATATCTGTGTATACATCTTCTATATATATTATGTAGATTGGTGTTGTTGTGTGCTGTCAATTCTGACTCATAGTGATCCTATATGACACAGTAGAACTGCCCCATAGGGTTTTCTAAGCTGTAATCTTTATGGGAGCAGACCACCACATCTTTTCTCCCTTGGAGCCGCTGGTGGGTTTGAACCACTGACCTTTTGGTTAGCAGTGGAGCACTTAACCATTATGCTACTGGGACTCCTTATATGTAGATTACTGTGTATAAATTTATATGGTTTTCTAGATGAGTTTATATAAAGCCATTCAATTGTTATGTGTACATAATTGTAATATAAAAATAAATGGTTTTTCCCTTTTTTCTTTAAAGTGAATAAGTCATTTGATTTTGAACATTCACCTTAAATAATGTGGTAGCCTCTTAGACTCCATTACTTGTAATAGTAGGTTCAACCATTTGAAAGCAAGTTATTTATTTTTCTGATAAACAGTTAAACTGAAATAAAAAGGCAGAGTATTTCTGCCTACAAGAGACTGCCAAAAATCAGTATGTTCTATGTTACATATTCTTCATTAAGTGTTTCGAGAATGCTAATTACATGTAATATAATGTTCCAATATAATTTGTTGGCATTGTATATTGTTGTTGTTGTAAGGTGCTGTTGAGTTGGTTGCAACTCCTAGTGACCCTGGGTCCAGCAGAACAAAACAGTGCCTGGTTCTGCACCATCCTCACAATCGTTGCTGTGTTTGAGCCCATTGTTGCAGCCACGTGTCAATCCATCTCGACTCATTATATACCATTAGCTATTTTCTATAAGATAAACTATTTTTTATGCCTTAGAAATGTTAGTCACTAGAAAATTGTGTTATAATTTAGGGAGTTAATTCTGTTTCTGTGAGTAAAAAGGTCAACAAAACTCCTCCTTCATGGGAGGATTACCCTGGGTTAACCTTCTAGCACTGTTGTACTAGAACCCTGGCAAAAGTGAACATGACGTGATTGGTAATGTCTCTGGGCTGGGAGGAGTGTGGATGGACTATACATACCTAACCAGAAGCCATATCTTTGGGCTTTTCTGAGCGGAGTGTGCCTCTTGTGCCCCTTCGTGGGGGCCCCTGAAAGCCATGTTCATGGAGTGTTTCAAGTCTGACTGAGTGTAGGTCCTGGATTAGCTGTGTGCTCTCACTGCCTAACTGTTGACCTGGAGAATGCATGTTCCCCGGACTCTCCTACTGAAGAGACATACCTGAGACTGTCCTACTGACAGGCTGTGCCCGTTTTGTATCCTGTGGAGCTCATCTGGGGCAGATTATGGCCTATTGAGTTTTGTTAATTTGACTGCCCTGCTGAACCCAAGGTCACTGCTGCTGGTTGAGCAGAATGGACATGGTACTATCATAAATATTTAATATGAAAAGTATAATAATAATAACAACAACAACTAATTCTTCCTTTATTTTTCAGAAATGTGTAACAGATGAATGTTTCTTTTTTGAACGACTGGAATCTAATAACTACAATACTTATCGATCAAGGAAATACACCAGTTGGTACGTGGCACTGAAACGAACGGGGCAGTATAAACTTGGATCCAAAACAGGACCTGGACAGAAGGCTATACTTTTTCTTCCGATGTCTGCTAAGAGCTGATCTTAATGGCAACATCTAATCTCATTTCACGTGAAAGAAGAGGGATATTTTAGAAATTTGTTAATGAGAGAAAAAGAAATGTGTACAGTCATCTGCTCAGTTTGGATAACTGGTTGGATCACCTTTTATCTACCAGTAAAATATTTAACCATTGCCTGAGTAAACAAAAACGACAAAAATTCTTGGAAAATATATAGACTTTCCCTCTTTCGTATAGCATTTATCTTTACCTGGTGGAGCTTACTTAGAGCTACAATCCTTTTCATACATTTACTTTATTTGAAAAGGGGCTTTCAAAATGTGCACATTTATAAACAAATTTTCTTCATAAAAACCATACACATTAGAAAATTAAAGTCAGATATTTAGTTAATTACTCAAAATGTCCACTACTTCTTGTAATGTGGCACACATTAATCTATATGTAAATTTACTTTGAAACTTTTTAAACATGCAAATGTGAATTTAGTACATTCCTGCCATAGTTTTGTAACTCTCTGGGAGTTCCTTGTGATAGAGTTTATAGAACAGGCCTGTGTAAACTGCTGGGAGTTCTTCCATGGTCAGATCGATCTTGTCAAATCCTTCTCTGAACCCATACAGCATCAGCCTAGCAACTCTGCTGGTGATGGGAGTCGTATTTTCAGTCTTGACCAGGTCACTGAGATCCATCCACTCACACCTTAAACATTCATGCTGGCAAAAATTTATGGTGAATGAACATGGCTTTAAGCGGCAGATGATATACATATCTGACTTCCCAAAAGCTCCTGGATTGGCGTGCTGTTGCCGAATACTCAGGAGGGATCTGAATTCTGATTTTATACCAGTCTCTTCAAAAACTTCTCGAACTGCTGTGTCTCCTACGTAAAAGAAAGATGTACAAATCAACAAGGAGCACATTTCCAGAGACTTTATCACTGACGATTTTCAGTTAAAGTAATATTATCTAAATGTTCAAAAGTAAAACTCCACCCTAAGAAAATAAAGTTTTCAGCACAAACTCCTTGCATTCTGGACATCCTGAAATGGTGTGTACTACCAAAGTATTTTCTTACCACTGTATATATATCTAACAAGTTTTAAAATAACTGAATGTTTCTTTGGCTGCTACTTCCAGGCTTATCCACCTGTGCATTTTTGGGGTCACGTCTTTCTACCCTCTTCTCTACTTCCCAAAAAGTAAAAAACATATGCTGCAAAAGTTAAAACACATGTTGCAAAGCTCAGTTGATATTCCTGCATATATCTTAAGTGCTTGGCTGCTGACCGAAAGGTCAGCCGTTCAAATCCACTAGTTACTCTGTTGGAGAAAGATGTGGCAGTCTGCTTCTGTAAAGATTTCAGCCTTGGAAACTATGGGGCAGTTCTATTCTGTCCTATAGGGTCGTTATGAGTCAGAATCAACTCGAAGGCAACAGGTTTGGTTTATCCTGCTCCTGATCATCCATGAAAACTGCCTGAATTTATATATATCAGCATTGAGAATAAGAGATCCATTTTCCTTATAAAAGCCTGTTGAGCTGCAGAATGTACTGAACTATGCAATGACTCTCATCTCTCCTGGTGATCTCCTGTGAGACTGTCAAGTGTCAGAAGGCATTTAGCAGATTCCTTCATCAGCATTTTGAAGAGAAGGTTACTGCCCCAGTAGTTAAGCTGTCAGTGCAATCCCACTCTAGTAATTTTTGGCATTTCCTTTGTTTCTTGAGGTAAGACTACAAAACACTGAACTTATTTCATCAGAAGTTTTCAAAGAACTTGCAGTATGCAGAATTTTATAATGCAACAGAAGTTTTCATATTTTATAAGGTTTACTTTTTTCAATTATATGTAAATTTCTGGGGCAGTATTTTTATTGCCATTCAGGCATTTTTGTGGCTGCTTTCTCTAAAGGTCCAGATGAACTCCCTAAGTGGGCTTTCCCTAATTTTGTGATGCTCTGTCATTGTCTCCCAAAGCATTTATGAGAAGCGCTTACAACCGTCACTGCCCACTTTGCTGGGAAGCGTCACAATTGCCACAGGCAGAGTTTTTCCTTCAAATACTCTTTAATGCCTCCATTGTTCTTACTTGTCAAATAGTAAATTATATTTGCCTTGTAGTAGTCCTATTGGTGAAGAATAGGCAAAGAGGAAGGAGTTGATGAAAAATGTCTCAACTCTCATGTGCTTGCCTGTAGACTGATTGTCTTACCAACTCCCTGGATAAGCTCTTGGTTTTTCTGTTAAGGGACTGTTCTGGAAAGATGCATGGGAAGAGTAAAGTGTTCTATAAGACATTTATCTGCCCATTTTGAATTCCATACTGACTTCCCTTATAATAGAGATTCGCCCTAATTAATACTTTGAAACTGAAAAAATAAAATGAGACTCTAGGTTACAAAAAGAGGAACTTTCCTGAATAAGAAAAATAATTTTTAATCTGCTATTAAAGATTGTGGCACTAGTCTTAAATTTTATATAATGCTATTTGCCAATCTCACTTAACTATTATTTAAATGTTTATATTTTTTTCTTTAAATTCTTTGAAAAATGACCATTGGGGTCCTGTTTAGTTCTTAGCGCCACTAATCAAGTGTTGGGATTACTTCATGAATCTTGGTTGTTCATGGCCCAGAAGCACCAGGATGGAGCTAGTGAGTGAATCTGCCTTGCTCAGCAGTCATCACAGCAGCTGATTCAAAATTAGAGATGCTGAAGTGGTTTTGAGCAGTTTAACTTGAACCAGCATCTAACTAGACTGAAAATTGAATGGGCAAATAAGAGTCTTTGTATTCAGTGTCTGAAAGACCCTTTCCACTTCAAGGTGGAAATGTCTGCCCCAAGGATTTGGACATCAATTTAAATGTTTTATCAAGATAGAAGTGCTTTATTTTGTTGTGTCTTTATTATTTTAATGCACTGTAAATTGAACCGAAGTAACATTTACTGTTTTATAGCTATAGAGAACATAGAAAAAACCAAGAGGTTTTTGTTTTTATTTTTGCGGATTAAGAAATATGTTTAAATATGTCATAGTGTTTTGTTTAGGTATGCAACAATAATGAAATGGAGTTTTATTTGTTATTTCTATTTTGTAATATTTAATAATAGAATTAATAATAGGATTAAGGTTGAAATAAAATAATAGGAAAAGTTTTGCAAAATGTGGAGTTCCCTGGTGTTTCCCTCTGATTCTCGTAGACCAGTGATCTCTTGACTAGACCAGCTGCTTTGCAGTCCTTTGGCTAATGCAGATGATTGTCTTCCTGTCAGTACAACTTGTCCATTTTTAACCTTGACTCTTGAGATACCCTTTGTACACCTAGAGTATTATACTACAGCTTTGAGAATTGCTTTCTATTTTGTATGCGGCCCTCCTAATTTTTTTTTTCTTCTTCTTAACACTATGAACAATGATGCTTCATTTACCCAATATTACCAAGAATGAAGAATTCCAAACAAATGTATTTCCCAGGTAACTAGTGTTCACTACCTAAGAGTCAATATGAATGTTTAGCCATCTGTGATGGCGATATTCTTAATGTATAGTATATACTTTCCTAAACACAGGGCTTAAATAATTCTTAGATGATTTGGCTTCACTGTTAAGAATATCTATTATTGTACTGTGCTATAAAACAGAAATGTCTTTATACAGACATAGTCTTTCAGACCTCTACTGTCAGGTATCCTTTCCAGCTGCTTTTAGGGTTTTATGAAATCCAAGGCCAAGCTTTAATTACTACCCCTAGGAAGTACAGTGAATGCCAGTTGTTGCTTAGAAGCCTTTCCTTTTTTTTTTAATTCTGCATGGTTGAGACATAACTATGTATAATCTCTGGATAGGTGGGTTGTTGTGACAAATAACCACATATACTTACAAAAAACTAGTGAATTCTTAATTATTTGGACTTAAAGAAAGGTTCTGGAGTATATGTCAACCTAAAATTATATATATTTGGCTTGGAAATGTATTTCTTCAGTTAGATTTAAATATAAGTATATCTGAAATTCAGAGGATCCATAATAATGCATGTATTTCTTCAATTAGATTTAAGTATATCTAAAATTCAGAGGAACCATAATAATTCAAATTAAAAAAATCAATTCATTTGAGAAGGCAAAATTCAGGAGAAGAAGCTACACAAACCTTCTCCTGCAGACTTCTTTCTGCCCAGTATGGATTGCTTCCTCTCTCAAGGGTGCAAATGATAAGCTAACTAGTTCACACATGCTCACGTATCATACAGTAGGAGGCAATGAGGTGTTCTAGAATAAATGGCCTTTTCTTTCAGCACTTGCATCACTACAGAATCCTCTTTTATGTCACTAGAAGACCTAAGCAGAATCTAAACAAAAAGTCAGTAAGTACTAAATAAGTACCTAAAACAGAGATTTATTATGGATATATCTTAATGCAGTGTTTTTAGGAGTTGGCTATATATTATTAATATATGTATGACATTTTGATTTGTGTAATATTTTTAGAAATTAAGTTTTAGGTATATATACATTTTAAATTAAATAACGATTATTAGGAAATTGCCTATATAAATGCTGGCTAAAGAGAATGGGAACATTCATATTGAGGAAAAGGTTATGGAGAAATAATACTGATATCAAATGAATTATCTATTGATTTATTTTGATGGAAATTGACTCTGACCTAATGGTTGAAGGAGTAGGTAGGAAAATTCTGTGTTTATTCCTTTGTCTATTTCCTGTAAAAACAATGAAGTAAAGAATTCTTAGCTTATTTCATATCTTCTTGTCTTAAACATAGAGCTCAGTAAGTTGTTTTGGGGGGTTATTTTTCATTTGAGATGTTCTCATGTGACATTTTACTGTGTTTTGGCTTCCTGAATATCAAAAGAAAGAAAAGATAAAATTTTCATAATGATAAGAATTATGCCACCACTGTTCTATAATTGAAAAAAATGAGAGACCAAGGGTTTAATTCATGTAGGTTTGATTTTATAACACTTATTTCAAAGTTACTTTAAAAGTTACGATTTCATGAGCTGGAGTCATGAAAAGTTGACAGTAACTTCTTTTAAATTCATATTTCTGTGAAGGAATGGTTAAGAATTGATCTTTTCTAGTAGGTTAATACCAACAACAACTTCAGTCATATCCAAAATAATCCTAAATTTACTGATGTACATCCAGAGTTTCTCATTTCCAAACAAATTAATCTAGAAGCAGTCCTAAACAGAAGAAAAGGTGGTATGCTCCTAGTGGTATTATTTACACTAATGGAATAGGTTATAATGTTATAAATTTTGCTTCTAATTTTATATCAGTGCTGAAATAACTTCTCTGAAATTTTCTGACCCAGTCTGAACCAGTTAGAAAATGTTAAACCTTATTCTTTGGTATTATAAAGCAAGAAACTAAACATTTGAATTTCCTCAACATTTTCAAGCCAATTTAAAATATGTAGGATACACACCAATATCTTCTCCAGGCTCTGACAGGCCTCCTGGAAACTTCCACATATTTTTTAACTGCAATATACAATCATAAAATAAAGTTAACACAGCATTTATTCACTCACACACTCACTCACTCATTTACTGACACTCACATACATGCAGACTCCAGAAAATCTACCCATAATTAATTGGTCAGGGGGTTTGAGATTTTTTTTGTCATTGCGTGTAAGTTTTTCGCATCTTCCGTCCTCCCCCTTTTTTGGGGGTGGGGTGGGGGTGTGACTGATGAAATCTTTTCCTACCTTTTTATTCAGGAATAGAAGTGGTTTTGCTTGGTTAATGTGATAATAAATTCTGTACGAATAAAACCGTGGAGAGAAACATCTACTGAATCTGTATAATTTTTAAAATCTTGCTGCTAGTTAACTAGTTAACAAATAGGGAAATCTTACAGATGCTGCTATAAATAAGTAGAAAATATAGTATAAATTTAATCACTAAAGTATGCTATTTTTAATTTTCTCATTTATCTCCTGTATTGTGTTTCTGTCAGATATATTACTATTATGATTTGTATTACTCTATATGTTATTGATTCCATGTAAAAAATGTAATTGCTTTTCATAAGAAGTGTGAATAAAATCAGTTAGTTTGAATCTGTGTTTTCCTGCCTACCATTTCTTTTTTTTTTTTGGTTGGGAGTGGCAGATGGGAAGATCTGATCTTGGAATGGGGATAAACATAGAAACAGATTAAAAATAGTTACGAGATGGTCCAGGACACTATTCTTGTTGCTGACCTGATTCTTTTTCCTGTTAGAGTCCTGCTTCTGTCACCGTGATAAAAACTGAAGAATGAGAAATTATACTCCGCAGGGAGCAGCAGCTTTGAGCAGCACACCTTATGCTTTTCATTCATAAAACAAGTTTTTGGACCTTTTACTGGTGTGCTTTGTGCCCAATCATTTCCTGGATGAGTGCTTCTTAAAAGAATGTGTTATTTCCCAACTATGCTAAGTTGGAGACCAGTGGCATGGTTCCCAGAGTTTCTACAGACTGTCAATTATGTGGGTACAGAATTCAGGCTTTCCATCCTTCTGTGTCTGGTTGAGACTGGAGATTAATTTAAAAAGCATATTATGTTTTACTTTATTATGTAGAAATATATCCAAAGTCTATTTCTACATCAATGCACTGTCTTTTGGGCTTCATTTTGAAATGGGTCCAGAAGATTTGTTTCTTAAAAAACCTATGCACTCTTTTGTCTGATAGGATGCTGGGTTTCACCATCATAAATCCTATTTCTAACAAAAGAAATATTATAGCAGACAAATGATTCCTAAAAACAAAAAAAGTCAACTTTTAAAAATCTTTACCTTGACTTGACTATAAATGATTGGAGATTGATGATTAAATTTGGAATTATGAACTTACTAGGAGGGAAAAAAACAAGGATTAAAACAGCTCACAAATTTGATTTTGATTATTTCATAAATTAAACCCTAGGTAATTGAAAAGATTATATTTTTATGTTGGGTAAGTAGCTTGTGACATTTTCTGGCATCTCTTAGGGTTAAAGAGCCTATTTTAAGAAGTTTTTTTCCCCCAAAAGCTTGAGCCTACAGTTGGTTCTGAGTGGTAGGAAGAAAGGCCTAAGTTATGTGGTTTGAAAAATGTGTAATGTAGACATGGTCGACTGAGAGCATCAGACATGTTGTCCATTCTTTTTTTTTTTGAAAATATAAAAAAGTAGTCCCATTAACTGGGTGCATTTAGCAATATAACAATAATATTAAAATACTAGCTAATACATATTGAATGCCTACTATGTTCCAGATACTGTGTTGTGTTTTTCTAAGCATTACACACAGTTAAACTTTACAATAATCCTATGAGAGACTATTACTCTTCCAAGTTTAGAGGTGATGAAACTACGGATGCAAAAAGGTTTAATAACTAAACACAGCTAGTGAGTGGTAAATTCAGGGTTAAAATCCAGGCAGTCCTATTTTAGCCAGCTTTTAAAAAAATTTAAAGTGTTGATCGGATATCTTTTCATGAGTCCTTAGCTACTATTTGCTGCTGTTTCATATACTTTTTGATCTATTCCCCAGACTTCACTGGAACAGTCTATGTAAACCCAACTGGAATCTGTATCGTAGACTCCTACAGGGCTGGTGAACTTGTACTAAAATCTAGTTTGGTGTCAGATGTCTTTATACCTACCTGTTGCCTGAGTTCCCTATCTAGAATCTTCTGACTGGTGTGAGATTTTTTATTTAACTAGTGATTTACTGTTATTCTATCTTTTCAACATATTGTTTCATGAGGTAAAATTTAATGTGGAAGAGTTAAGGATGGGGTTCTGAAAATCTAGACTTTTAATAAAATCTATTTTTTCTGTTTTCATGTATGTTTTCCCTTCCTATAAAAATACAAAACGTCTCTACGTTTCAAGTAAAATTCCATGATCCTTTTTTCCCTCATCTTAAAAAAAGGAACTTTCCACTGTCTTCTAAAAGAAAGTCTCAAGTTTTCTAGTGCCTGGTTGCTTGTTGATTGTTAATCAGCATTCACATATATGACACCTCCCTGCTGTGAGTTGGTGAGATCATCTAGTTCCTTCAGCATACCTGATTTTTCCATCCTACAAAAGGTAGAACACCTTTTTAATTTATAAAAACATGTGACTTTAAATCATATTTAGAGTAGTTCATCATATTCTGGAATGGTTAACAGGATGAAAAAATTTTCCTATAATAAATCTGACGCTATTGTGGGGGTGGTGGTGGGTGTTGGGTGACTGGAAAATAGAAGACAATGTGGATGACACGGGTGGTTCCATCTTTCACTCTGCAACCCCTCCTTCCCTGGATATTAGAAATTGGCCCAAGGAATAGGTATTTTGGATATCAACAAAAATTATTATTTTTCTAATGCATTTTCCAGAGATACTAACAAATAATAGGAATGCAAGATATTTTTTCTGTTAAAGCACTTTCAAGTATAATAGCGCCGTTTCTTTTAAAACTTGTCCTGAAGATACACTCAAGTTTATTTTAGGGTTTCTAGGATGGGGGGGGGGATTACTCATTTTCTGATCATTTTTCTCACTATTTTTCCCTTACAGACATCTTCTGTTTTCCTAAGCAGAGGATTAGTTTCAGGACCTTCCCTGGGCGTGGGTGCTGAAATCCTAACCAGGAGTTTGTGTAAATAGAACCCCCAAAAGACTACTAATTTCTTTCCATCATATCCCAAGAACCTAAAACAAGGGCACAGAACTTGCTATTCTCTTCCTTTTGGTTGTCTCGTATTTGACTTTCCTGTTCTTCCTCTAGGCCAACCTGGTCAGATGTCAGAACTTGGTTATCATTGTTCTCTGTTCTAGTTTCTAATGATACTACTCTCACCTCTCAGAATTCAGAGCCACTGTATTTTGATAAGGGGCCCTGGTGGCTCAGTGGTTAAGAGCTTGGCTGCTAACCAAGAGGTCAGCAGTTCGAGTCCACCAGCAGCTCCTTGGAAACCCTATGGGGCATTTCTACTCTGTCCTATAGGGTTGCCATGAGTCAGAATTGACTCAACAGCGACAGGTTTGAGGTTTTTTTTTTTTTTTCCGGTATTTTGATAAATCTCATTGGCTACAATATTATCACCTCTTTCCCAATGAAACAGAAGTTCTCATCAAGTCTTACCAGCCTGTTATAGGCTTGTTCATTCACTCAACAAAAACTGCTTGAATGCTAGGTACTGAGTATACAGAAAATAATGTATAATATGGCCAGCCCAGTCATTCTCTTTATCCTGTACCACTGTATAGCACTTATCTCCCACCTTACATATTATTCGTTTATTATTTGTGTCTTACCCATTTGAATATAAACTCCACATAGAGAAACTTTTCTTTGTTCACTGATGCATAGAATAGTGCATACAGCCTAGTATGTATAGGAACTCAGTAGTATTTAGTGAATGAATTACTAGATCCCTACTCTTAGCTCTTCAGCACTCAGTTTGCAAGGTCAAGCTACTGTTAGGTCTCTAATTGATCGAAATCTTGGGGCAGGGACCAAGGGTTGGAAAACGCAGGTAGGGAAGGAGAAAGGTCATTTTAGATCTGTGCTTGAGCATGTGCATACGCTCATGGTAAGGCTGAAACTTTACTCTGTAGGGAACACTTAGCATTAATGCCTAGGAGGGTGAGATGCTTAAAGAAAGGAGAAAAACTGGCTTAGATGTCTGAAAATAATGCTAACTAATAATTTATGGTTAGTAGCTAAATTTCCACTATCACCAAAACAGTTACAGAAATTGAATATGACTCAGTGTCTCACTCTATTTTTTAGAAAAACATTGAACTCTACATCAATATTAAGTTTTCATGTTTGGTTGCTCTCTTAGATGGATCTCTGTTTACAACTTTAAAAAAATCAAAGAAAACCCTACTTAGGAGTATCATTCTTACTTAATCCACAAAGGAAAGGTCTTAGGTAATTTGAGTTTAGCTTTTACCAGTCACAACTGCCTAGAAACATAGGGGGAACAAAAATTGGTTTGCAAACACGACCAGATTCTGAAAAGCAGTTCTTTCTCAAGCCACTGTGGAAAACAATTCAGCGGTTCCTCAAAAAGTTGAACATAGAACTACCATATGACTCAGGAATCCCAATCCTAGGATATACCCAGAAGAAGTGAGAGCAGAAACACAAACAAATCTAAATACCAGCGTTCACTGAAGCACTTCTCCCAAAAGCCAAAAGGTGGAAACAACTGAAATGTCCATCAGCAGATGAATGGATAAATCAGATGTGGTCTATACACACAATGGAATAATAATCGCAAAGAGAAATGAAGTCCTGATGCATGCCACAACATGGATGAACCCTGAAAGCATGCTGAGCGAAATAAGTCAGATGCAAAAAGACAAATCTTGTATGATCTCACTTACATGATATGAGCAAATAGATTATTAGTGGTTATCAGAGGCAGATGGGAGGAGGGAGGGGGTTTTGCTTAGGGGACATTGAGTTTATATTAATGGTAGTAGAATGATTTGGAAAAGGATAGCCA